TATACAGACAGATAGATAAAGAATAGATTCTAGGAAAGACAAGTTACAGAAAGGAACATAACCAGGATTCTTAAAGAACGAGACGCAGCCCTTCATCCAGGTCACAATTTGGCAGCCTGGGCAGTGAGGGGACACAGGTAATTATTAGCACTACAAGCACAGTTGCAGCAAAATACACCCGATGACATTTCCATCTTTCACTGATGCTACAGCAGTGGATGTTTTTTAAGATTGTAAAAGTCCATTAAAAAAAACATGGCATTTTGAATCACAGGATCTGTGTTCAATCCTAGCTCACCTTTTTAACTAAGGGACTCTCAGAACAACATTCCAGAAAAATATAAGCTCTATGACAAAAATAACTTTGTTCTGTTTATCATCTTACCCCTGTGCCTCACCAGGGTCTGAGTATCTGTTGAATGGATAAGAAAACAAAAGAATAAGCAAACTTTTCTGAGACTTAATTTCCTCATCTTTAAGGAAAATAATTACACTTTGCAGGACTGTTGTGAAGATTTAATGAGATAACGGATGAAAGGAAAATTTTTTTGCGAATTTTTAAGTTCTATATGAATACTGGCATTATCATTTACTTAATCTTCTTGCTGTTCTGATTTCCTTCATTTAGAGTGCTCTGGGACTGAGCAAAGTAGTATAAATTCTTCAGTGATGCCTCACTACCATGGGACGAGTCTGAACTTCCTGGCATGGTCGACGAGGCATTCATGTTCCAGGCTCTGATTCCAGATCCAGCGTCATCTCCTCCCGGCTCACACTTCATATTCCAGCAATAGTGGGTACCTCCCAAGCACACCGAAACTCTTCAAGCCTCTGGGTCTTATACACGTTGTTTCCTTCTCGTAGTGCCTTTGGCTAACAAACCTTATGGTTCTCAGTTCCACCCTCCGAGAGACGTTCCCTAATTTTTCCAGGGAGACATAAGTCTTTCATTTTCCAGTGTCCCTGTTTAGTTTAACATTTTAGAGCAATGAATTGTTTGGTGTTAGATATACAAAGACAAATGAG